TTTTTTTAAATAAAGAGAAGTTTTAGGGTCATAGTAAAATTGAGTGGGAAGTATAGAGTTCTCACATGCCCCTTATCCCCTTCCTACACCCCTCCCCCTCCCCAAAGCTCCCCATCAACAACCTGCACTAGAGTGGTACATTTGCTACAATGGATGACCCCACACTGATGCATCATTATCACCCAAAGTCCATAGTTTACATTAGGTTTCACTGTTGGCATTGTACATTCACTTGGTTTGGACAAATGTATACTGACATGTATTCACCATAATATAGTATCACACAGAATAGTTCCACTGCCCTTAAATTCCTGTGTTCCACCTATTCATGCCTCCCTTCTCCCTAAGCCCTGGCAACAATTGGTCTTTTTACTGTCTCCATAGCTTTGTCTTTTCCAGAATGTCACATAGTTGGAACCAAGTACTGGCTTTTCATATTGGCTTCTTTCACTCAGTAATATGTATTTTTTTTTAAGTTTATTTATTTATTTTGAGAGAGACAGATCGAGTGGGGGAGGGGCAGAGAGCTAGGGAGACCATCCCAGGCAGGCTCTGTGCTGTTAGCACAGAGCCGGGTGTGGGGCTCCACTCATGAAACCGTGAGATCATGACCTGAGCTGAAACCACGAATTGGACGCTTAACTGACTTGAGCCACCCAGGCGCCCCTCACTTAGTAATATGTATTTAAGTTTCCCACATATCTTTTCATGGTTTGATTTACTCATTTTTTTTAGTGCTGAATAATAGTCAATTCTCTGGATGTACCACAGTTTATCTATTTACCCATGGAAAAACATCTTGGTTGCTTCCATGTTTTGGCAAGTATAAATAAAGCTGCTATAACATCTGTATGAAGACTTTTGTGTGGACATTACTTTTCAACTTATGTAAATAACAAAGGTGTGGTTGTTGGATCATATGGTAAGAGTATGTTTAGTTTTGTAAGAAACTGCCAAACTGTCTTCCTTTTTTTTTTTTTTTTTTTTTTTTTTTTGTCTTCCAAAGTGACTGTAGCATTTTGCGTTCCCATCAGTAGTGAAGAAGCATTCCCACTGCTCTACTTCCTTGTCAGCACTGGTGTTGTCAGTGTTTTGAATTTTGGCCTTTCTATTTAAAAATTATTTTCATGTTTATTTATTAAAATTTTCTTTAACGTTTATTTAGTTTTGAGAGACAGACAGAGTGCAAGCGGAGGAGGAGCACAGAGAGAGGGAGACACAGAATCTGAAGCAGGCTCTAGGCTCTGAGCTGTCAGTATAGGGCCCAATTTGGGGCTTGAACTCACAAACCATGAGATCATGACCTAAGCTGAAGTCGGAAGCTTAACTGACTGAGCCACCCAGGTGCCCCTAAAGTCTTTATTTTTAAAAGTAATTTCTACAACCAACATGGGGCTTTAACCCACAACCCTGAGATCAAGAGTCACATCCTCTACCGACTGAGCTAGCCAGGCACTCCTTTAGCCCCTCCCCTCCTTTTTTTGAGAGAGAGAGAGCATGCGCATGTGCAAGTGAGAGTGGTGGGAAGGGCAGAGGGAGAGGGAGAGAGAGAACCCTAAGCAGGCTCCACACCCAGCATCAAGCCTGACTCAAGGCTCCATCTTACAACTGTGAGACCATGACCTGAGCCAAAATCAAGACTTGGACACTTAACTGACTGAGCCACCTAGGCGACTCTGGCCCATTTTTAAATCAGGCTGTTTTATGTTATTGTTGAGTTTTCAGAGTTCTTTGTGTATTTTGGATAACAGATGTATCTTTTGCAAACATCTTCTCCCAGTCTGTGGCTTGTCTTCTCATTCTCTTGACAATTTTTTGAAACAAGCTTACAATCTGTCTCTTAATTGGTGTATTTAGATTATTAACTTTATTATTATTATTTTTTTATATAGTTTATTGTCAAGTTAGCAAACATACAGTGTATACAGTGTGCCTTTGGCTTTGGGAATAGATTCCTGTGATTTATCACTTATATACAGCACCCCAGTGCTCATCCCAACAAATGACCTCCTCAATGCCCATCACCCATTCCTCCTCCCCCCGCCCCACCCCTTCAACCCTCAGTTTGTTCTCTGTATTTAAGAGTCTCTTATGGTTTGCCTCCCTCTCTGTTTGTAACTACTTTTTTTTCCTTCTCTTCCCCCATGGTCTTCTGTTAAGTTTCTCAAATTCCACATATGAGTGAAAACATGATATCTGTCTTTCTCTGACTTATTTCACTTAGCATGATAC